TCTGCTGTTTGGGGTCTTTGTTCCAAGAAATTCAGAGCACCTGTCATACCACATCTTAAAAAAAAGAAAACTAAGGAAATGTTAAGAGGCTCCTTTAGAATAGAGCTGAGTTTACTGTGCAAATAGATTTCTGATGGCTCCTAGTCAGGGGTCCATTCACTGTAACTGCTTCCCTCGTATTTTCTTAGCATTTTGGGCCACATATGATTGGTCTAATCAATTTGGGATCATTTCATTATTAAACTAATGTGTTCTTTTTTAAAAAAATATTTTATTTATTTATTTGAGAGAGAGCATGAGAGGGGAGAGGGTCAGAGGGAGAAGCAGGCTCCCTGCTCAGCGGGGAGCCAGATGTGGGGCTCGATCCCTGGACTCCGGGATCATGACCTGAGCAGAAGGCAGACGCTTAACCCGAGCCACCCAGGTGCCCCCTAAACTAATGTGTTTTTATAAAAATGAGTCTCCGGTCTCATTTTAAACAGAACCAAGCCCCTTGGACCGGTCACAGATGTTTCCACCAGTCATCTAAGATGCTGGTTATGTAGGTTTCAGGTGTTACCTTCATGGCATGGGACAGCTAGACACTTTCCAGATAGACCAGCTGCATGGGCTTAACACCGATGACCTTTCATAGGACTCAAAAGATTTTGTTTGGGTTTATTGTCTGCAGTCATTCAGAACAGTTTTGGTTTCTTTTAATCAAACGTTGTGCTAAAGCTTTCTTTTTATGACTCTTGCAAGGTACTTGGCTGCTGGTGTGTTCCTTTGTTTTCCTAAACTTACAGTAGCTGTCAGTCTTGTGCTGAGCTCCCCTCTCAATAGTACGCTGAATTGTGCAATTCTCGCTTGGCCCAGTCTGAGACAGGCATCCTTCCCAGAACCTAGTTGGCTTCTCAGAGGTTAAATACTTTTGGCAAAAACTGCAAATATGACTGAATAAAACCATAAAAATGAAAAACCTCCAGAACAGGGGGAAAAAGAATTATTTCTGACTGTGAACTACATCGATGCAGAGGACTCTTCTTCTTTAGTCTTCTTAGTTTGCTAATACTTCTAATCCTCTCTCTGCTTCACATAAAACCAACATCGTAATGCTGTTTATGATTGTTGATCCCCCTGAAGGGGGTGGGGTGCCAGTGGTAGAAACTGTCAGCTCTTTGGTCTTACTTTAACCTTTTCACTACCTCAGGTGACCATTTGATCCAACTGCTCTTTCTAGAGCACCACTAAAAAGAAAAACAAATTGATTTGAGAGAATTTAGGGATCTTCTTGTTGTTGTCATACCTAGGTAGTTCTTTACTTACAAAGGACAGAGAATGACTGTATCTGCGGTCCATTTCTCTGGAGATGCACCTTGTTTATTATTACTGTAATCTCTAAACTGCATTTTGGTTTGTGGCTTTTTTTAGGTGTCCTTGATAGACTGGTTTTTCAGAGTAGCCCAAAGTGGTTTTCTAGTCAATTAGGTAGAACCTGTGTTTTAAGAGGATGTCCTTTTTGTGTATGTTTAAGTTTTAGTATTTACATAAAGAACTTACTCTTTTGAGACCTGTGTCATTACCATGTTTCACCAGAATTCCTATGTCATCTGCTCACTGCTTTTGTTCATGTATGTATAGACCTTAACTTTTATGCTTTAAATTGACAGATTTGTTTCTTTTGAGACATCTCTCTTGGCTGTCTACTTTCTTCTATTTCCACAATGTGACCGGCCGCTTATCAGTTCTCCAACTCATAAACTTTGCTCTTGTTGAGGGTTAACCTTTACTATCAACTCTTCATTAAAAGTGAAATTCAGAATCATCTTTAGAAAGGAAAGGAACATGAATCAAGGCTAAAAACAGATCAAGACAAATCAGAAAGTTTTGGATTTATAACTGATCTTCCCCCAAGGAAGATGAACCAAGTGCTCTACCCCCGCGGTCAGCACAGCATGCTGGATTAGAGCCTAGCCCATCCCGGCGAAGTGCATGGCTTCTCACTCTGACTCTGCTGCTGGCCTCTAGGACTTGGGGCGAATTTTCTAAAATTTCTCTAAGTCTATATTGGTAAAACGGGGATCATACCAGTACTGCTTCTTGAAAATATTATTAGAATTAAGGGAATTCATATTTGAAAAGAGCCTTAAACAGAGTTTAGTACAAAGTAAGTATCGAAAATAGTTTTTAAAAAATGGAATAGTGTGGGCGCCTGGCTGGCTCAGATGGTTAAGCATCTACCTTTGGCTCAGGTCATGGTCCTGGGATCGAGTCCCACATCAGGCTCCCTGCTCAGTGGGGAGTCTGCTTCTCCTTCTACCCGTCCCCCCCCCACTTGTGCTCGCACATGTGCTCGCTCTCTCTCGCAAAAATAAAATATTTTAAAAAAATAGCGATGAAAACATCTTCTCTCCTAAAATAACATATTTCTTAATTCTGAAAACAGCCAATAAATAATTTTCCTTCATTAACACTAGGCTTCCCATTCTATGAAAAACAACCACTCATACCTATTATAGAAATCACATTTTGGAAAAAAAAAAATCACATTGTGTTATAGAAGATAGGCTAGAAAGGAGTGTTCGATCTATTGACAGCGAAGAACTTGTCTTTTTCATTTTGTTTACTAAAAATAGTTTAATGGACTTAATCTGTGAATCTTGTTGGCTAAAAGTAGGAGTTTGGACAGATCCTACTCTGGGTTTAGGGCTTCTCATTTCTGTATGACAACTGTCGCTATCTAAAATCTGGAAGAGCTTTTTTTTTTTTTTAAGATTTTATTTATTTGTTTGACAGAGAGAGAGACAGCGAGAGAGGGAACACAAGCAGGGGGAGTGGGAGAGGGAGAAGCAGGCTTCCCGCCGAGCAGGGAGCCCGATGCAGGGCTCGATCCCAGGACCCTGGGATCATGACCTGAGCCGAAGGCAGAACTTAACGACTGAGCCACCCAGGCGCCCCTGGAAGAGCTTTTAATTTCCAATGAATAGCTAGGTCCTCTGAGTGGGGATGAGCTGTTTAGTTTGGAACGTCACTCCTGTCCCTTTTTATCTTGAGGACTGTTGATGTCTTAACAATCACATTCAGTCTCTCCCCTCCTGATTATTGGTTTCTTCTTCCTTTCTGTGTATAGGCATGGCTGGGCTCCCTTCTTCTGAATCAGACATTGAAACTTTGTATTTCATTCTGCTACCAAATCCTGTTAATACCTCCTCAGTCATGTAATCAATCATGGACCTCTAGCTAACTGCAAGATTTGATTTGGATTTCTTTTTATTACTTTAAACTCTCAAGTTCTAAAAATTAACTCATCTGTCTCTTGTTATTTTAACCTAAGAAAAGCCACATATTGAGAGCAGTCATTTTTGAGAAAGGACTGGTATCTTGAATATATGAAGAACTTCTACAAATCAGAAAAAAAAAAAACGTAACTAGAAAAATGAGGGGGAAACATGAATGGCCTAAACACCTGTTTCAAAGAAGAAGAAACACGAAAAGATGTCTAGACTTACTAGTGAAGACATAAATGCAAAGTAAAACCGCCATGAGATGCCCTTTCACACTCAACTTAACTGGCGTTTATGAAAGGACAGTCTCCAAGATTGGTGAGGTTGTGGATATTGAGCATTCTCCAACTTGGTTGGGGGCTGAGGGGAGTAAAATTTAGAGCAATGGCTTTGGAAACAAGTTTGCATATCCTGTGAGCCAACAGTTCTGCTAGTGCCCTAGCATGTTAGCTCTAGGATACTTGCACAAAACTGTTCCAAACACTACTGTTTGGAATAGCAAAAATACTGGAAATGACAAATATATTCATAAATAATATGGATAAGTTAATTATGGTATATTTAATCAACTGGGATACTCTACACCTGGAAAATAAGTGAACTTAGCAACATGAATCATTGAGGGTAAATTAAAAGTGTTGAGCAAAAAAATGCTACTCACGGGAATTCCTAAGGTACCCTTTTCCTTTCTGATAGGTTACTGAGGGATGTTTCCACATTCACTGTTGTGAAAAGGGAAAGATTCAGTCAAAATTCAAGACATTGATTATATTTTGGGAGAGGAAGCTTTGCTTAGGAAGGGACCAAAGGAGTCTTCAAAGATGTAAGCTTCTCCTTCTAAGGCTGGGTGGGATGGCCACTTTCCCCCCTTGAAACTGATAGATCCAATACAGATAGTTCTGAGTATGATGTGTTCTATGATTAATATATAAAGAATCTTATGTTCAAGAAGATTCTTAGGGCTTTAAGAGTACTCAGTTAAAGGTTTGTCAATGTCAAGTGAGTTTTTGTAGATTCCCCTTTCAGCCTTGAAATAGAAGCATTCCCTAGTGAAGTAGAAAGTTAAGGTCACAAGTGTTAGAACTAGGTAATACTCGCCTCTCTGTGAAAGCATATTGAACAGAACTGGCTTTCTGGCAGGTAACTCTATTTTCTTCATATGATAATAAATCTAGCTCTTTGTAACAGTATCTTTATAACAATTATCTTACAAACCATGATGACAATATAACCCTGGAAAAGCTCAGTAATATACTGAATGTATCATACTGAATATTTTTTCCTTCCAGTTTTGGAGCAGGTGGGTGGAGCCGTCAAGTGTCTATTTCTAAAGGACTTCAGTGTCACAGAAGTGTTGAGCCTGTGTGACGTAGAGCAGTAGGATATAGGGAACATGGGTAAGGGGCACAGAGAAGTAGAACCTAGGACTAAGACCACTGCACAGTGTGTGAGAATAACCTAAAATCTCACCCACGTGCACACAACTGTACACACACACAACCACCATCTTTTCAGTTGGTTGGTTGTTTCTTAAATGCAATATCCACTTCTAAAGATTGCTCTTCTAAAATGTTTCTTTGTGAGCTTCCAGCCCACAGGAAGACTTCTAAGACTGCATGTCATGGGGTTCTGGATTAGTTTGTTCAATTCTTATCATTCAGTCCATTGAGGATTTCTCCATTTTTCATTTTTTTTTTCCCCCCTCACTATGGGGTCTCTTCCCAACTGAAAATGCAGATTGCTGTGTCCACTGTATCCTGGCCTGCTTGTTCTGTGAATTCCTCACCCTCTGCAATATCGTCCTGAGCCAGGCCCCCTGTGGCACCTGCACCTCCGAAGCCTGTTGCTGTTGCTGTGGAGACGAAATGGGGGAGGACTGTAACTGCCCCTGTGACACGGATTGTGGCATCGTGGATGCCTGTTGTGAATCATCGGACTGTTTGGAAATCTGTATGGAATGCTGTGGAATTTGTTTTCCTTCGTAGGTATTTATCTTCTGTTTGTGTTAAAACTGGAGTGTTTTAAAATTTTTCTTTGAGGGGGGCAGAAAAGCACATGGTAAGATTCTCATGATGCAACCCAGTATTTGCACTGTTAACTCATTATTTCAAGAAATCTCTGGAAGCCTGTTTCTCTCTAACTGAATCTACGTGGTTTAATATGTGAAATTTTAACTACTTTTAAACTTAATAAGTTACAGTGACTGAGGGACATTTTGAAACCCCCCTCCAAAAAAAGAAAAAAAAAACACCTAAATGTCTCCTTTTTATGCATGTTTCTGTCTCTTAACCATTCTTAGGAGCCTCTTGCTCCAAATGTATTATTTCTCTGTGGGTATTTAAACCAGACAATTTAGTTTTGATGTCTATCTGTTCATGGTTCAAAGTAAGCATCCCTTCTTTTAAAGTGAACTTTGGGAAACAAAACCACACCGTAGTTGGGTACCCAGTGTTCAGTTCCGTGCTGGATTCTCCCTTTCTCCCCTTGTTCATCAGACATTTAGCGCCTACTGTGTGTAATGGCCTGCTCAGATGCAGAGACGGATGCCATTGAACTCCCATCCAGAGGAGTATACAGTTTAGCAGAGGAAAGAGACCTGTCAAGTACAAACCCCATTCCTCAAGGCATACTGAAGTGAGGTTTAGGCGGGGGGGGGGGGGGGGGGGGGAGGGGGAGAGAGGGAGGGGGAGAGAGAGAGACTAAAAAGGCTCTAGGAATACACAGAAAAGAATAGCTCTTGCCTACTGGAATATGCACAAAGCTTCAAGGAGAAGGTAGCATTTGAGGAGGATTTTAGGATGAGTGATCCATCTATAGCTTAGATGAATTAGATTTAGTGAGACCAAGCTTTAGGTGGGGAGCCTGAACTGTGTGTGCCCTTAAACCATTAAAAGAAAAATGCCTTAAGTATGTATCTTCTTTAGTTGCAGGAATACAGGGGTTGTTTTTTTTTTTTTTTTTGGTTAAAGACTATAAAATTTAAGTTAATTAAAAATATGCAATTTTTTACACATCATTTCAATGTTATAAGTTTTTGATAAGAATATAATGCTTTATTAAAATAGCTCTATTTTATAAAGAATGTGGAATACTTTTGACAAAATGCATTTAAATTAGGTGATTTTTTTAACTATTAAAATCTCAGTATTATGATTTTGATTTATTCAAAAACGTTTTGTTTTGGGGGATTTTATTAAGAGCTTTCAGTCTTTTGTAGGAGGCGGAGGTTGTTTGTTTTGCTTCGTAACTGATGTTTTATAAACATGGCTCATCTTAATGTAAACCCTTCCTTCCAATGCAGTGGGACATCCACTTCTGTGACCAGATTTCAGTATTGCAATTTTATGTTAAATTAAACCAACACTGCAGGTTATCAAGATGCTGCAAGTGTAAAGAAATAGTCTCATAATCGACTTAAGTATATAGTTAGTAAGACATAGACACTTTGTGTAGCCCAGATGAAAGTTGGAGTAAATTTCCCTACTATGTGCTCTCCTACTAAGTCTGATCTTGCCAGAATTGTAGTTTGGTTTGATTTAATGTAATTCCTTGTAGAAATTCTGGAAGGATACTTTTGGATTAATAGTTATTTTTAGTTCTTCCAGATGAAATTCAAATTGATAGTGAAAACAAATTCATATTTTTAGGAAGCCTTTGGCAACCCTAGCCTTTTAAGAAAGGTTTTAAACCTAAAGCATAGGAATGTCACCTCTGGTTTTTCCTTTGAGATAAAACCTAGCTTCTACTTCCGTCATTACTTTTAAAGGACTTGAAAAAAAAAAAAAAAGCAAACTCCCGAATCCCCTTTTCAGTGCTTTGTGCATGTACACACACACACCCTTTAAATTGTCGGGTTTAAATAGAATTATAGGAAACCGCTGTCTTTCTCTTGTCTAAAGAGTGTCTTTGTTACATTAAATATAAGAACATCTTTGTACTATTTCATAGTAACCAGAATCTGAATATTTACCTATACCCAAAGTTAACTTATGCGTATCTATTAGGATAGAGGAATAGCATCTGTGTATTGACATATAAAGCCTTTTAATGACCTGGAATTGTTAAGATGTGTCACTTTTTATCATGCAAGATTTTTCAACCAAGTGGTTCGTCTAATATTTAAATATATTCTGCCACTATTTGCAGTGAAAATATTAGCACTTTTAAAATAATGTTTCTCCATAACAGAGAACATTGATAGAATTTTTTTTCATATTTATATTCACAGTACTTTTCCTCTGTTGTCTACTCTAGTCATTACATAAAGTATCTTGTATGATTTTAAAAAATGAAAAAAACCAAAGTAGGAAAATGTGAAAATAGTTTCAGTATATGTCAGAATTTCTGTATGTAAAATGTTTTTGTTGAATTACATGGCCATGATGACTAAGTGCTATAGTTTACAGTTACAGATTTGGTCTCTTTTTAAATGTGGAAACTTTACCTTTAATATTTTTAAACTGGACCTGTATTATCTTGAATACATTATTTTGAAATAAAAAAATGTTCTCTATTGTGCTTTAGCTTATTTTCTACCTAACTGATACATTGGTATTTGAATGAATTTGACGGTCATTTAAAACTTGAGGCTTTTTTATCTTGTTACTTCCCTTTCTGAAGATTTCCTAATTTCCTTATGTAAATCACATGACTCATGCCCCTAAATGAACTATGAAAGATTCAGATCCGTTTATACTGCAAATCATAGTATAGGATTTTAAAACATAGTCTTAACTAAAGGGTTTTTAGAAGTTGGGAGATAATTCCAAAGGAAGTAAATGGAAACAAAGGTAATTCTATTTTTAATATATATACTGAGATTAAACACAAAAAAAATCTATGAACTCGGGTATTAGATTTAATGAATTTCATCCAAAAGTTCAATCATCAGAAGTATTTTCATCTCGGGTTTTTAGTGGTGCAATTTTTACACCAACAAACAATAACTTGACATAGTTCGTAGCCTTTTGCAAAGGAATAAAAGCGTGTTGAGCAGGGAACCAAAAGGTCTCATTATAGGATGAAGCGAAGCCATATTAAAGCTTGTGCACTAGTAATGTTTTATAGTTAGTATTTAACCCCTCCAAAATCACTTTAGTTAGATGGCTTTTTATTTAGGAATATAATTTTATTTTTATATTCTTATAGTCTATCAACTATATCCTTTTTCCTCACCTAAAGTAGTCAGGATTTCTCTGAACAGTTCAAGGAGTAACCAAGGCAACCTTATGTAATAATTTTCCATTCTTTATCCATACAACCTCTATCAGTGCCCTAGATTCTAATGTTACAAATGGCAAAGTCACTGCCTAACATAAATAAGACTGGAGTCCTGAGTCTGTGGCTTGCCTTCTGGAATTCCAGTTTAAATGCTTAGATTTACCCAACCACCTAATGAATAAGTTTATTTATTAATGAGATTATTTTTCAAATTATTCAAGACCTTTATGCCCTTTCCAACTACTTGTGATTTGTAGGCCTGCAGGTTTATTACATCTAATCTGACAGGCAAGATAAAATTACATCAAATACTACACTATCCATTTTTCTTTTCCTTTTACACTAATGTAGTAAAGCATACCATTTTTTTTTTTATAGTTTTTACTTATTTGACAGAGAGTGCGCACACCAGCAGTGGGGAGGGGCAGAGGGAGAAGAAGATACCCCACCGAGCAGGGAGCCTGATGTGGGGCTCGATCCCAGGACCCCGGGATCATGACCTGAGCCAAAGGCAGATGCTTAATGACGGAGCTACCCAGGCACCCCTAAATCATACCATTTTTGTTTTAAATAGTGGTTAAGATAGTGATAGGGCTTACTCCACACTTATACTGTTTACATTTTTTGATCAAGCGTTTTTTTTTTTAAAGATTTTATTAATTTATTTAATTGACAGAGAGAGAGAGAGAGATAGCGTGAGAGGGAACACAAGCAGGGGGAGTGGGAGAGGGAGAAGCAGGCTTCTGGCTGAGCAGGGAGCCTGATGCGGGGCTCGATCCCAGCACCCTGGGATCATGACCTGAGCCGAAGGCAGTTGCTTAACCAACTGAGCCACCCAGGTGCCCCTTGATCAAGCGTTTTTACGAGGGAGTCAGTCCCTTTAACCTTTCCTCTCCATGCCCCACTATCACCAATAAATTTCCAGTGTGCCCATTTTCTCAAGGTACCTCAGTGGAGTCGGGACCCTCTTGTAGTTTCAACCTAGGTAAGAAGTTTGGCACCTCTCATGAGAAACTGTTAGTGGTTACTTGCTTATTTAATATTAGAGATTTTGTGGAAGGGGGTATGGAGATGGGAGAACATTACGACGCAGCCCTAAAGTGGAGGGTGGTTTTTGCAAAAACGATCAGTGGTGACTAAATCCAAAATTCCCAACAATGACTGCTCCCTCGACCGTAAAAGCGCTGTGAATCAAAATACACTGTAAACGTTCAAATTTTAATGGACTCAATATAGCTCCTAAGCTGCCAAATGTCAACATGAGTAGTTTCCTGCCTTCATACTGAACTGTGGCCACTAGTTCTGGTTCCATTGTTTGTCTGTTATTTATGCCCTCGAGCCCTCACCTCAGTGCTTGCTAAAACAGAGTGCTGCATTCAGTTGTGAGGTGACCGGGAAGAAATCACGGTAGATAACCATCCTTTGACACATTACCGACATGGGGTATAGATAACATGTGTTAAAGACAAAGTGTAGCTTTGCAATTAAGTGCTCACTTCCAGGCAGGGCTTTGTGTGAGGTTCGGTGGAGAATGTAATTATTAGGAAAATAGTAAAAAGCAAATTCAAACAAATTCTAAGTTTAGCTTGAAAAATTGAAAAGGTTCTTAAGTTCTGTCTGATGCATAAAGGGGTAGAAGCAAAAGAATTACGTTCCAAAGCCAAGAAAGAGGGTGTATAAAAGCAGCTGATCCACTTGACATAGTTCATAGCCTTTTGCAAAGGAATAAAAGCCTGTTGAGCAGGGAACCAAAAGATCTCATTATAGGATGAAGCCAAGCCATATTAAAGCTTGTGCACTAGTAACTATGTCTAAAAACAGCCTGCTGTTTTATATTGAACCAATACATTTCTTAACTTGGTAGGTTGCAGTGTAAAGATGTACAGAGCCTGTCTGCTGGATGCTATGCCAATTACAGATGTGGCGGAGTGGTGTCAAACACCTACAAATAGTTAGGATCTCAAGCAATCTTAGAGTGAAACAAAAGAAGTTTTAAAATGTCATC